AGCCCCAGCACCTATAATCTGTATCACCTTGAGCAAGTTACTTAATCTTTCTAGCCCTCAGTTCTGCCATACGTTAGAAATCGGAATAATAATAGCATCTACCTGGTGGTGGTGTGATGTGATTTAAATGTAAGGCACTTAGATAATGCCAGGCACTTAGAATGCTCGGTATACAGAATTTACAAGAGAGCAATTTCCTGTTTTTCTCAGACCGCCACTCTGTCATTACCTGCCTGCCCACAGACAGGTGACAGTTGGGTCACCTCATTTCTGAGACAGGCCTCTAAAGCCCAGAGAGAACAAGACTGGCCCAATAGCACAGAGAAGGAGTAATAGAATTGAAACTGATGGCTTTGGGATGACTAGGCCAGTGTTCTCATCTCTCCCTTAGGAAAAAATGAGCATGGCTTGAGGAAACCTGGGGAGGAAATATGACTGGGGCCAGGCAGGATGTAAATAATACTAAGAACAATGACCACTTAATATGTGCCAGGCACAGGTTTAAGTACATTCTGTGTATTATTTCATTTAAACCTCACAGCAACCCTAGGAGGTCATGACTATCGTCATCATCGTCATCATCATCCAGAAAGAGGAAACTGAGGCTTCAACACCTAGAATGGCTTCAAGTTGGGATTTGAACCCAGGCAGTCTGACACCACAGATGAAGTGTGCAACTGCTACACTATACTACTGTCCACAAGGAAAGCAGAAAGAAAGGAAAGGTGGGAACAAAGGATAAAGGAACAATATAAGTTCTTTTTGAAGTAAACAGACCGAGGCATTGTAATGTTAGGGTCAGGTCCTAACTTAAAATCAACAGTTTAAGTCCAACCTCTGCTACCAATTATTGAATATCTTTGTGCCTTAGCTTCCTCAGCTGTGAAATGGGAATAAAACTGTTTCTCAGAGTTGTGATAAGGCTTAAGAAGCTAATGCATGTAAAGCACCTAGGGCAATGCTTAACCCAAGGTAAGTGCCCAGTAAATAGGAGCAATTGACGGTATTAACTACACCCCCTGCAGGATTTGCCTAGCAATACAGCTCCCCATGCCCCTTCTCGGGGAAACTAAGTTAGAAAGGAGAAAACATTTATAAGCTGTAGGGAAAATTAAGAACTAGGCTAAGCAACAATTCCAGACATCTTTCCCACCTCCTGAGTGTGTAGGGGGCAGTGGGTGATGGGGGTGGGAAGTGAGTACCAGCATTATTAGCATCACTATCTCCTTCCTCAAGGAACAGATCCCAGGGGGCTGCCCCCAGTTTCTGGTCACTTACAGCCCGAGTCAGAACTCTCTTGTTTCCTAAGGAGTTTGGTTTTTTTTTCTATGTCTTTTTCACATAGGTTGCTTTATTTTTCCTATCAACCCTATGAGATAGCGGGAGAGAAGGATGGAATCTCAGATGTGTTGAGTGTCTTCTATGTACCAGACAGAATGCTGAACACTTTCCATCAGTGACTTCATTACATCCTCACAACACCGCTGTGAAGTTATCCTCACTTTAAAAGTGTTGTCCTCAATCCAGTGTGGGTTGCTTCTTTTTTCATGTACATTTTCCTCTCATCCCATATATCCAACACAACCCTGGCCAGAGGTTGTGTCCTGCTGAGGGTTTTCTATAGACCAAAATATTCTGAAATCTCACTGTCCTCAACACACTGATCTTTGCATAATCCCAAGACCCATAAATTGACAATAATTTGCCCCCAGTGGATCTGAGATGAAATTATGATTCTGCTTATTAACTATATGATTCTGTGTTAGTCACCTAACTTCACCTCTAAAATAGGGATATGGCACTTCCTAATCCACAGTGTTGTGAAAATTAAATAACTCTCATAAAAGTGCTGTCAATTGGACCACTTCATGGAAACATTGTTTAAAATAGAATCATCAGGGGGCGCCTGGGTGGTTCAGTCAATTAAGTGTCCACTCTTGGTTTCGGCTCAGGTCGTGATTTCTGTGTTGTGAGATGGAGCCCACCTCAGCTCTGCATTCAGCATGGAGTCGTTGGCTTGGGATTCTCTCTCCCTCTCCCGCCGCCCCTCCCCCCACTCCCTCTCTCTCTCTCTCTCTCAAATCAATAAATAAGTAAAATCTTTAAAATAGAATCATCAGTCAGCTTAATCTCAGAAAAGCCCCAGAAGGGCAATAGAATGCTTATATCCCTGACCTTTGATCAGGTAGGACACCAGATCTGCAACTGTGGTTGGTGACTTTAGGAATGTTGGGGGACAAAGAATGCAGAAATTCCCTGAAGTAATTGTTGAGGAAATGGCCTCTCACCATTATCAACGCGTTATTTATATCATCACAGAGACATCTAAATCCTTTACAATCACCTATTTCTCAAAGCAGTTTCATCTACATTGTTTCATGTGACATTAACTAAAAGTCCCAAGAATTAGTCTTTATCATTTAAATTGTCCCATTTGCTTTGTTACTCTTCTCCCCTTCCTGGAAGTGGCCCATCAAAATTTGCAAGATCCTTCCCATCTTCCCTTCAAGGTCCATCCATTACAAAGGCCACACTTTGGCCCCAAATCCAGCCCTAAAGCCCCAGATCAGTCTTCTTTCTGCCTTCTGAATTCACACAGCACTGTGCACCTTACACTACCTGGTATTCTAGACGTTTAAAGATTTTGTTTATTCGAGGGAGAGACAGAGAGAGCACAAGCGGGGGGAGGGGCAGAGGGAGAGGGACAAGCAGACTCCCCGCTGAGTGCGAAGGGGGGGCTCCATCCCAGGACCCCGAGATCATGACCTGTGCTGAAGGCAGCCGCTTCACTGACTGAGCCACCCAGACCCTCTAGTCTTTTATGTACTTCTCTTAACCTCCGCCCCTCTGCCCTACCTTCTCACTAAATTCACCAACTCTTCAAAGGGAAGAATGAAGAACGAAGGAATGATTTCCTCGTTTTATGTCAGTCCCACTTTCAAAAGCTTTTTATTATGAAAGAGTTCACGTGTGTATGTTTTTATATAAAGTAGAGGGAATTTATAATGAACATCCATGTACCCATCACTCAGCCTCAACAATTAGTAACCTATGAACAGTATCATTGCATCTATACCTCCACTCCCTCTGCCGTCTCACACTGGATTAAAGTAAATCCCAGATAGCCTGTCATTTCATCCATAAATACTCCAATAGGGACGCCATCGTTTGCATTTTGTGTCCCTTACAATGGGAAGAGCATTTTTATCTGTGTCCCCGACTACTGGGAGCACATCAGAAGATGATTTCTGAGCACCTACTGTGTGCCGGATATTGTGCTTGGCTCAGGAGGTTCTGTCTTAGGCTAAGGAGGCACACCAGAATCAAGCCACGATGTTCCAAACCGAGAATTGCTACAGTTCTAGAGAGTGAGCCTGCGGCGCACGTGGGTGCCCAGGAACAGGAATCAAATTGCCCTAACTGAAGAGCTAAATCGGTTTTCTTCTCAGGGAGACCCTGAGTTCGAACTGGCCGTGAGACACGGGTTCTCCAGCAGGAGGCGCTGCAAAGGCGGGAGTGCGGTGGAGGTGGAGGTGCTCGCTCTGCTCAGCTTCTCCTGCGGGAGACGGTAAGACAGCCAGAGCCCACTGCGGGCGCAAACTGCAGGCAACAACGCAGGTGAATAGGCGAGCGGGTCGCTGAGCGCCAGGGCCTGAGAGGGGCCCCAGGGTTCAGGTGTGGGCCAGAGGCGTGGGGGAGCTGGGCAGGCTGGGCACCTGCTCCCCAGGTCTTCTTGACGCTACGGGTTGCCCTTGACTGCCGCCAGTTCCTGCTCCAACTGCGGCTCTTCCTGATAGAATATCTCGGAGCAGGACACAGGACACAGCAAGGAAACACCTGTTTCCAACAAGAAAAGAGGTGGGGGGAAGCCCCCACCAGGCTTCCAATGGCCTCTCATCGGGTTTGGTCTCAAGAGCCTTGTAAAAACGCGCCCAGAAAGCCAGTGGAGATCGGTTTTCAAAAAGATCACTTTCTATTTCTTACTCCCCCATACTTTTCCTAAGATGTAAACGTCCCTTAAAAAAAAAAAAAAAAGTCTTCTTTCCTCCGTGGGGTTTCCCGCTCCTCCCAGACCCCTTGAAGACTCCGCCTTGGTGCCGGCAGGGACCGCTACCACCCCCATTCCCAAATTTTGCAACTTCATTCGCTTCCGGATTTTTCACTTCCTCAGCCCCCACCGACCTACAGGTGGGGAGTGGGACTGGGGATGGGCAACAGAACAAAGAAACCAAGGAGCCCCAGTCCCGGGCCAGGCGCCCCTTCTGCAGTTTTCGACCAGCTGGGGAACGAGAAGGGCTCAGGAACGCGTGAACCCCCAGCCCTGGTCTCCAGCCACTTTCCGAACGCGAGGAGCCTGACGACGCGTGGGAGGTGGGAACTGCCCCCGCGCAGCCAACAGACCTCCAACTCAACAGGCCTGAGTGGACGTGGGCGCCAACAGTCTCCACGCACTGGGCTCCGTTATTTCATCAGCAGTTTCAGAAAAACCTGCCAAAAGCAGTTATGCCTCACTGCAATGTGTAGCTTTTTCCTGCCATTTTTTTCATAATAAAAGAGGGAGTGAAGCTCGCTCGCTCTCTCCTCCCTCACCCCCTCCCTTCCAAAAAGAGCCAAATGGATACAAGGGGGGGGAACCCACACACCAATCTCCGAGGGGATGCCAGTGAGGTGTGGCTTGTATTTAAATATCCAATATGTCAATGTAAGGGGAGTGGGTATGTATATAAAGTGCCGTTTGCATCTGATAGCTCGACGAAGCCAGCTATGAGAGGCCTAGGGAGATGGACGCGTAAGGGAAGCGCCACTTTGACTGAGAGCAAGGTCAGGAGCTCGTTGCCCCGCCGCTGAGAAGTTCCTTGGACGCGAACAGACGTCGACTGCAGCTAGGCAGAGCGCGGAGCGAGCGAGGGAGCGAACAAGCGCCGCCGAGTCGCCTGCGCTCGCTGAGGGGAGAGGTAGTTGGCGCCCCGCGGCCCCAGCTCGGCCCCGCGCACCCCGCCATGGCGGAGGTGGGGGGGGTCTTCGCCTCGTTGGACTGGGATCTGCACGGCTTCTCCTCGTCTCTGGGGACCGTGCCCTTAGCTGACTCCCCGGGTTTCCTGAACGAGCGCCTAGGCCAGATCGAGGGGAAGCTGCAGCGCGGCTCGCCCACAGACTTCGCCCACCTGAAGGGGATCCTGCGGCGCCGCCAGCTCTACTGCCGCACCGGCTTCCACCTGGAGATCTTCCCGAACGGCACAGTGCACGGCACCCGCCACGACCACAGCCGTTTCGGTGAGAACGCGGCCGGGAGGGACGGGAAGCAAGCGAACGGCTCGCTGGGGAGCCAACAGCGCGGGGCTCCGGCTCCGGGCCCACGCGGGCCGCCCCCAGCGCCGTGCCGTCCGGGCCCGTCGAGGCGGGAGACGGCCAGGGACGCGGGGCAGGCGGGATCGGATGGCACAAACTTGAGCCGCGCGGCGTCAGGGCGCCTGGCACCCTCAGACGCTCTCGGGAGGAGGCGGGGGCGCCTTGAGGTGCGGCCTCTCATTCCCCCACTCCACCCTTCTTCCCTCCCCCGTAGCCGGGGGAGCATTCTGACACCCGACGCTGCGCTTAGGATGAAAAGCAGGTGGAGCTGGAGAAGGGTAGGAGCGCCCGCCACCCGCCGAGGAGGCCAGGGACCGTGGCTGTGGCGTGGCGTCTCGAGGGCAGCGGGGTTGTCGCGGCCGATTGTCTGCCGCAGAAGCCTTCCGGGGCTATGGATGTGGTGGGCGCGCGGTCCGCGTCGGAATCGCTTTTGGCAGACGGCGACTCGGCAGCCGGCAGCCGTGGCACCTGCCTGCGTCTGGCTTGCTCTACCCGGGGTGGAGGCCAGTCCAGGCAGCAAGGCGCGAGCTGGGTCTTGGAGAAACTGGGGAAGCCTCCCGCTGTCCACTCTGGAAGGGCACAGCCCTGGGTCAGCTTTTGCCTGGACATACGTCTGGACTCCTTGACTCACAGGGAGGAAACGGTCCTGGGCCCACTCCCAGCCCCAGAAACAGGTGTCTCCTGGGCCCAGGACAGGAAATGTACAGGCTCCGAACAGGATTTTCTCTGCTCAACACCCGGCAGATTGTTGAAAGGGCACAGCTGCCTGTCTCACATACAAAACATAATTAGTATAAACCTTGATGTGGGATGGAGATCATTAGGTTTCTAAACAAATGTGTTCATTCCTCAGTAATTTGGCCATTTTTATTTTCAATTTCCTATTCTCTACTAAACCATAATTCAGGTGCTGTGACAGCTACCTTTACTTGGGAACCCCATCCCCCAATGCCCTCTACTTCTTCCCAAGAACCCTGTGGCCCAAGGATACCTTCTAACCCTAAGCCAGTAAGAGGCTCTGCCAACCCTCCAGCATGATACCCGTTCCCTTCTTTATCCCACCCTCCCCCTTCCCCCCTCACCTCCCCATCCGCCTATTCCCCTGCCTTGCTAGAGCTGCATCTGGAGTGCACAGTAAAAGGCAGGGCGGGTCGGGGGTGGGGGGGTCCCAGAGGCCAGTGCCTGGGCAAGGCCAAGTCTAGCAAACAACTTAAGGTCAGGGCTGGTCTTCCTTGCTGGGAGCAAGCAGGAACCCTAATGAGGTCTGTGTCATCTTGGAAAAAGGCCCTCACAGAGCTGGAGGACAGTGGGTTGTGTGTGGGGTGGGAGTAATGGAGGGGTTCTGGTGTCTGTATGAATTTGCAGCGGGTCCTCCAAAGGGTGATAGGTGGGGTCAGGGAAGAGGGAGTATTAACTTGGCTCCTTCCCCTTCCATCACTCGTGACTTTGCAGTTCCCTTTTGTTCCTCTTCGGAAGGAATGGGACTCCCACCCCGGCCTCAGAACCTCCCAAAGCCTCCCAGAAATGGCCTGAAGATATTGGAGTAGCTCATTCCTGGTATATAAAAAGAAAAATCACGAAAGGAGGGAGAAATGTAGGGTGGGAGCAGCAGAGGTGGAGAAACTATGAGCTTGGCTTCCAGCAGCTAGTGTTTGTCTGACTCCGTGCCTAAGCTGAGCCCAATAACCTACAAGGTCAACATAAATTAGTAATAGGCTCTTGGGGTAAGTGGTCTTTAATTACCTCCCTAAGGACACATCTTGATTTCCTTTCATCTCTCAGGCCTGCTAAGGGTAAGTTTAAGGAGAAACCAAAGGAAATAAAACTGGCACGAGGAAGGGATGTTTTCATTGCTGCTTCACTGACTGCTTCATTTTTGGTTTTGCCTTTTAAAATAACACTGCCTGAGACCACCTCTGCACCACCTTTTCCCTTTCCTCCTTCCCTGGCTTCCTGGCAATTCCATGTATTTCCTGTAAAGGAAATGATAACTAGTCAAAGCTGTCTCTTTGTAACCTCCCCTGCCAACTTTCAAACACACATTTACTCTTTCTCAGTTCAGCTTTTGGCAAAGAAAGAGGTGGCGTTTGAGTTTGCTAACTCTCCTCCCTCCACATTTGAGTTAATCAGCCAGGGTATTCAATAAATCGAAACTTTAACATTCCATAAGTGCCTTAGCAGTCAACATTCCAGCAGGGTAAAGTAGGCCAGACTTAAGATATAAAATATTATAGATTTCTGCTTGGGGGGAGGAAGTAGTCTCCAAAGGCCATGTAAAGTAAATAGCTATTTGTTGTAATTGGAGAGCAGGGCCCCCAAGGATTACCCTGGAATCCATGTGTTCAGAACGAGTCAGGCTGAGCCCAAGAGCAGCCACGACTCCAAATAATAACCTGTTGGCATAGCCTACGCTCCCCCCGCCCCACCCACTCCATTCTTCGATCAGTGGTTGGGAGTATTTCAATCTCTGCTTGGCTGGTGGTATTTACATGCGGTTCACAGGGGTACTGACATTCCTGAGGGGGCACCTGTGGACTGGCAGAGCAGAGCCTGGGAGCCAGACTGGAGGAGAGGCCTCCCACCAGGTGTGAAGGGGCAGGCTAATGCAGCTGCTTTGGTTTTTGAGCAGTCTGCTCCTCAGTTGTCAGGCTGCCAGAGCAGCACTGTCTTGGCCCCGAAGGCCCTGAAAGGATGACTGAGGGGGCTCAGGCAAATCATGGAGCCAGACTGATTCAAGGACACGTTAGCCAACGGTCTAGCGAGGTTCTGGAGCAGTAGAGCTCAGGACAGATCTGTTTTGACTGAAGCCATGGGGGAAAAGATGGAAGAAGAGCCTGGAAATTGTCAAGCGGAGGCCAGAGCCTGAGATGGACAGGTCAAGATGAGGCAGAGTAGAGGGAGGTCCTGGACCTCGAAGGGGGCGAGAGTACTGAAGACAAACATTGTCTGCTTGATACTTGGCCTCCACACTTCGCTGTTAATACCCCTCTCCAACTGTAACTGGGAAAATGTGAAAACGGCTTGTTTTCTCTCTCCCTTCATGCTGGCTGGGATTCAGGAGGTTTAGGAATATCTGTTCCATCATCATGTGCCCCTGGGTTCCCACAGTTTGAATCCAGCTAATAGGAAAGTTGGCAAAGGAAAATGATGCCCCAAGACAGCTGGGCAGGGATGATTCCAGCTGTTGGAGACCCTTGTTACTGGACACAACCCAAGTGGCTTCCTGTATGATCTGTCCTTTGGCATCAGGGTTAACAGAGAGTTGGAGAAAAACTGTGGTGACTCAAATGGCCACACCTCTTGTGTTTCATGATTTGTTCTCACACCAGGTCTTGGCCGGTGAGATCACAAGCTGCCCTCTGCTACTTCATGAGCTCAGGGTGGTCAGAGACATGAGATACTTAGAGAATCAGGGAACTAAGATTTGAAGCTCAGAAGCAATTTGTCTAAGCAGAGGAAGGAATCGAAGGCTCCAGCAGGTTGGTTGGTGTCCCTCAAAGTTTAGCACACAGAACCAAACCATGACCTGGTTTCTTGTTTGCCTGCCATACTGGCCACTCTCCTTTGAACACACTCCTGTTTCTCCGTAGACCTCTTTAAACACAGTAGAACTAAAACCAGCGCTCAGTGTGGTCTAAGGCGGGACAGAGTGGGGCTGTCTCCTCCCTTTGGCCGGTTGCTAGGCCTCTGTCAGTGCAGCCTTCGATCCCATTAGCTTTTCTTTGTTTGTTTGTTTCACATTAGCTTTCTGATAAACTTTAATTTTTACATGACTAGTTCTACATCAGCTTTTTAATATCATGAATCACCCATACTGAGCTTACCTTGTTCAGCCAAATCTCTTGGTCATTGTTGTGTATGTTTTGCTAAGCCACATCTCCACATTCCAGAGGTGGGCTGACTTGTATTTAAAGCAAATGCATGGAAACACAAAAGAATATTACGTGTTTTCAAGAAAATATACATGATTGCCTGGAGTGGGGTGGAGGATGAGAGCAGAATACAGAAATAAAAAGAAATAGATGAATAAAAAGGCTTTGCACAGACCAATTATGATACTAGGCCATAAGACAAGGAGTACGATTAACTCAACTGTCTGCACTTGAGGCTCACCATCCCCCAACAAAACCCAAGCACAAAACATCTTGAGTAATCGGTTTGGAGACCAAAGTGCAGGACTTTACATTTATTCTAATTAAAGCTTATTTTGTTGGAGTCAGCTCATTTTCCCATCCTCTTGAAATCTCCTTGGATTTTGATTGTGTCACCTTCTCGGCTGTACATCTTCTAGAACTAGGGTAAGTGGTAACAGATATTCCTAATATATATTCCCCTATGTCCTCTTACAAGTCATTTATTAAAATGTTAAACAAGGCAGAACCCAAATCAGACACTTGCGCAATGCAACTAACGGGTTTGATCCATTACATCACTTCCTGCTTAACCCCTACTTGACACCAGCTAGTTGCCCTTCTCCTCCTACCATCTTGTGTCAGTCTCTTTTCCCAAAATGCCTTCCTTGTAGTGTAGGAGTTAAGAGCAACCCGACTGAGAATAAAATGAAGGATTTCAATGTCAGAGGCCATACGATGGCAGCAGACCTTTGCATTCTTCAGAGATCCAAGTGGGTCGTGGAAATTTGTGCCCTAAAGCTGCCACATCTGCACACCCATCCACCAGCCCAAATCACTGGGGCTTTTCAGGAGACTTCCCACTGGAGCTTTGAGTCCAATTTCAAAATTAACCACTTCATTTCTTAAGTAATCTTTAAGGAATCAGTTCCACTCCCTATGTAGACTACATAGAATATGATTACTCTTAAGAATTGCATTTTTGGGGGTAAGAAAAGCAGCCAGATGTGAGCTCATTTCATACCTTTGGATGCCTCTGTGAGTCAGTCATATCAAGCTTTGGTCTGTACATTGGAGGACATGGTTAGAGACAGGAATATCAAAGAGGAATCTACTTGACCGCTATGTCTGTATCCATAGAATAACAGATGTCCTATCTTAGAACAAAACTGTAGTCTTCAGCACCACAAGGTTTTAAGTTCTGGGTCATTTTTCCCCTCTTAGAAGTTGATTTTTTTTTCTCCTGCTGCTGCTGGGTAAATGAAAACATTTCCAACTCCTCACCTCTAACCTTGTCAGCTAGAGGGATGTTTCTGAATGTCTTCCAAACTTTCCCCTTAAAGTTGCAACATCTCAAATCAGTATCAAGTCGAGTACTACCTGTCAACTCTTTGCCGTGGATAAACTTAAAATTCTAAAGAGACAAGGGGAAAACGACAGGCTTGTCAGCCTGGGACTGCACTGGCTAAGAGCATATTTTTGGAGAAAGCTCTCACCAGGCCATGGTTTTTGCCTACTGCCATAGACAGGAGACACAGACTTAGTGAGTAGACTGTGTGGCCTTTGTTAGAGTCAGCTGCAGGCAGTTGACAGCCTCATGTGGCTTTAAGGACATGGGAGCTAAGAGGGTGCAAAACAAATTCAGCCTAGAGGACAAGAAGGTAATGCTGTGTGCTCTAGGGAGGAGGGAAGTGACTTTGGGAAGATACAGAAATCTAGCCACATTCTTCCATTTAGAGAGCTACCCTCCCATTTCTTGAAATGGTGGTATTTAACAGCAATAGTACCTTGTAATTATGGAGCTTTCGTAGCCAAAGCCTGCTCGTGGTCTCTTCCTCATAATATCTCTAGGAGTGTTGAGTAAGAGATTGTTTCGCCCATCTTACATGGGGAAAAACCGAGGCCCGGGGAGACTCAGTACATTTTCTGAGGTTCCATTCTTGCTGCAAAAGATGGTTTCATGAGGTACCTCACCAAAGGCATACAGGGCTGGCCTCCAGTTGGGGATAAATGACTGGTAGCTCATGTCACCTGAACAGCTCCCTCTTAGCTTGACATCAGTAATAGAAATGGCATTCACTTTTTTGCTCTAGGAATCCTGGAGTTTATCAGCCTGGCGGTGGGGTTGATCAGCATCCGGGGAGTGGACTCTGGCCTGTACTTAGGAATGAATGAGCGAGGAGAACTATATGGGTCGGTAAGTTGAAGGTTTTCTTTTCATCAGAGGCCATTACCACCGGTGTTTGGACTATATAAGGCAAAAACATAAAAACATTTATCTTGCACTTGAAATACTTCTATCAACTGCGAAGGATTAGTGTCTTCTAGGTGCTTCTTGGCTGCCCAGGAGCTTGCTATATAATCACACTTTCACTCAGCCAGTTCCCAACAAAACATCAGCTTTTCTGTGGTAACTTTGCTTTCACCTCTTCCATTAGAGGCCCAGCCAGCCTGGTGATAACAGTAAACTGTGCTGGTTTGTCAACAGAGGGTAAGGGTTGGGGGCATTTGCACTCCCGAGGAGCACCTATGAATTTTACTGGGCACCTAGAGGAGTAGCAGATGAGCTGGCACAAAAATAGACAGTGGAAGGGCTGGCCTTCAGATAGAGATTCTGAGATTGAAAACACAGTCCCTGATTTCCAGACTGCTTCAGCTGAATCCCAGAGGCCAAATGAAACAAACAAATGAAGAGTGAGGGTTCCAGGGTCTGGTGACAGCCCTAAGTCCCCAGCTAGAACTGGGTTGGCCGCAGTACATGTTCTCTATTCTGGAAGCTAGCCCAGAGCTGGGGAATGGTGAGTGACTTCGCTGACCTTAACCCTTTGGGGGGAGCCCAACTCCTGGGTTTGCCTTTTGAGTCACAGAGCATGCTTTCTGGCTGCCTGCACCCCATGAACTCAGAGCACATTTTTCCCTGACACCTAAGAGATAGGCCTGTCCCCAGCACTCCGTATCGGCAACCCCAGCAAGTAGTATGCCAGCTGGATCAAGTGTGAGAAGGCACAGAGGCAAGAGACCTGCCTCAGGAGCTGCTAGCTTGAAGTAGCCAGATTGGAGGAACTTTTCAAGGAGATCTTTTCTGAGCTTTCCAACTGACAGGCCTGAGACCCTTCATTAGGAGAGATCATAACTCACCTCCCATGGAGCTTTATATAGATCCAAGGCCTTTGCCTGTTAGGTGACATGGTTGACTGTAATCTCAATGGATTTGACATTATTTGCCCGAAGTGGGGAGAAAAGTCGGGGGCCAGAGGAGCATTGGGAGGCCATAGCAGAAATTCTCAGGCTCAGAGAGCCAGGTGAGGCCATCTCCTTTGGTCTCCTGCCTTCGGGAAAGATCTCACCTAAAACATTTCTGTGTGGTTCATGAAAGAGGATGAAGGCCATACAGACAGGACTGTTTTGTGCTATTTGGAAAGAAGATGCCTCAGGAATACTGGGAGATAGGACTGAAATTTTCTAACATCAATGTGTTATTGCTATTTCAGCAAGCTGGGATGGGAGAAATAGTCATATAATAGGCTCTGCTTTATTTTCTCATCCTCACAGAAGAAACTCACACGTGAATGTGTGTTCCGGGAACAATTTGAAGAAAACTGGTACAACACCTATGCTTCCACCTTGTACAAACACTTGGACTCGGAGAGACAGTATTATGTGGCCTTGAATAAAGACGGCTCACCCCGGGAGGGATACAGGACTAAACGACACCAGAAATTTACTCACTTTTTGCCCAGGCCAGTAGATCCTTCTAAGTTGCCCTCCATGTCCAGAGACCTCTTCCGCTATAGGTAATGGACCCCTAGTGTGACCTCTGTGACCCCTGTACTCTAGGGCCACAGTCGTCTCTGCAAGCACTATACTCATAGCTTTTCAATCCTCTTTCCTATCAATTTAGATAACAGAGGACCACTTCCTGTTCAACTCAACCCAGCTGTTCCTTTGTTCAAAGTGTATATCAAGGTTGGGTTATTTGGGGGAGGGAGATGGGTGGAGGGGTGGGCTGGAGGGAATCCTGTATATACTTTTTTCTTTACTCATGTTCTTTCCCCTGAGGTGGCACAAGAAAGAATGGGGGCCCCTGCCAAGGGCCAGGGATATCTTGCCCCACAATCTACCCAAATACTTTGACAATGGGTAAATGAAAAGCCAAGGAATCTCCATAGATGCTACATGCAGAGCTTTGGAAAAGTCTCATTAAAATCCTTGGGTCTATGACCTGGTGCAGGCCATCCCTGCATTGGCTCTAGAGATTTCCCACCTGTCCTGACATGCAGTTTTCCTGCCATTGGAAGTGGGAGATGGGGTAGGTTGTAAGAAAATGATATTAAAATGTAAGCATGGATACTGTGCATAAGAACAAACTATTTATGAAATGTATATGCTATTTATTTTATATATTTATTTATTTCAAAATAATTTTATTTTTAATGAGAGATGCTATGACTGGATTTTCATCAGAAAGAATAAGGTCCTACTGAAACAGGATAAATGAGTTATTAAAGGCTTTTATTGGCAATAAAATTCTATATTTTAACCATTGTCTAATTCCATTGAGTTGTACATTTAGTAGGATTAGAAGGTTGGTTAGCTTCTCTCTCTCCAACCTATTAGAATCTCCTGATGTCAGCATCACACTACCTAGCCTAGATGACCCATCACCAACAACACTAGCATTATTTAGGGGCCTTATCTGAAGTCCTTTCTGGTTCTTTGACTTCATTTTGGGGGGGAGTTGCTTTTTTTTTATGATGTTCAGTTAGTCACCACATAGTACATCATTAGTTTTTGATGTAGTGTTCGGTGATTCATTAGTTGCATATAACACCCTGTGCTCATCACAACACGTGCCCTTCTTAATACCCATCACCCGGCTACCTCATCCCCCCACTCCCCCCTCCCCTCTGAAACCCTCAGTTTGTTTCCCGGAGTCCTGAGTCTCTCATGGTTCGTCTCCCTCTCTGATTTACCCCCTTCAGTTTTCCCTCCCTTCTCTTATGGTCCTCCGTGCTATTCCTTATGTTCCACATATGAGTGAAAGCATATGATAATTGACTTTCTCTGCTTGACTTATTTCACTTAGCATAATCCCCTCCAGTTCCATCCATGTCGATGCAAATGGTGGGTATTCATCCTTTCTGATGGCTGAGTAATATTCCATTGTATATATGAACCACATCTTCTTTATCCATTCATCTGTTGAAGGGCATCTCGGCTCCTTCCACAGTTTGACTATTGTGGACATTGCTGCTATGACTTTAAACTTAGTGATGAATCAAAGCTTCAGGAAGCCCTGGACCAATGGCTCTTACAGAAGCCCCTATCTGTGCTTAGGACAAGGCATAGAAGAACCCTCCTTTGGGATTTGGTTAGGGATCAAAGCCTGACGGTCTTATGAAGATATGAAGATGAAGGGATTCAAAATAAACAACAATCAGTAGGGGCACCTATTTTTTGAACCAGTCAACTTCCCTTCTGGAAGCATTCTCCCACTCCCTCTCCAACCCCCGATCCCCATCCCCTGCCAGTGTTTCTCCTAGAGAGTTCTGGGAAGCTGTTAACACACTTCCCTAAAGAAGTAGTTCTCGGGGTGCCTGGGTGACTCAGTCAGTTAAGCGGCTGCCTTCGGCTCAGGTCCTGGGATTGAGCCCTGCATCAGGCTCCCTGCTCGGCGGAGAGCCTGCTTCTCCCTCTCCCTCTGCTGTTCCCTCTGCTTGTATTCTCTCTCTCTCTCTGTGAAATAGATAAATAAAACATCTTAAAGAAAAAAAAAGAAGTAGTTCTCAAAGTGTATGGTCTCTTGATCAGCAGCAGCAGCTGGGAACCTGTTAGAAATGTAGATTATCATGCCCCAGCCTAAACCTGCCAAATCAGAAACTCTGGGGGGTGGGGCCCAGCAATCTGCATGTTTACAAGCCTCCCAGAGGATTCCTGTGCAGGATAAATTTCAAAACTTAGTGCCCTAAAGGAATGGTTTTCAAAAAGAATTCTTTTTGCAGATGAATGGCTTATAAATAAAGTTTTAGGATAACTTTGGTCCATAAAACAAAAATAGAGTGGCTCTAGTTCAGGTGGAGATGGCATTCCTGGAACTCCCTCTTCTCCAGAGGAGCCCCTGAGACATCTTGGTTTAAAATCCCTGGCCTCTTTACTGGTATTTACTTAGGAGCATAAGGTTATTTGAATTCTCAAAGCATATGCTGTCAGGAAAAAAGAGCCAAGGGAATAAAAGTCTCAGTGAGTACTCAGACACCATACAGGACTGGTGGGAAAAGGTTTTAGGTTTAGGCTAGTTCCTTCTGATGCTCCTCAGTCACATCATGTAGGCATCCACTGTTTTTCCAACTGACTGTAGGGATGAAACAAATAGCTTAGGTAGCAGCTCACTTAAAAATCAAAATCAAAAAGTCTAAAAGCTCATCCAAATCTAAGTACCCAACAGAGAAACCACATGTAAGGGAATATATACATGAGATACCAAGTAAGATTATATGATAAAAAGTGCTAGGTTGCACGATTATGTATGATCATAGATTAGAGTGCTCACCAGTGGATCCACCAAGATGAAGATCTCACAGGGCTAGGGTGAGTAGGGAAAGCTTCCTAAAAGGGGTAATGCCAGCTGTGAAGAGCCAACAGAATTTGAAGAGGCAAAGAGGCTGATGGCAAGGTCTGCGTTAAGCTGCAGGGCCAAGACATGACCTCTAGAGGTCTCTAGGATAAGGGTAAACATCAGGTGTGTGATATTTTTTATCACATTTTTAATGAGCATCACATTTATTTTAAACCGAAATTTTACCTGTATTATCTATGGTCAGCTACCTGTAACTTTTGATACCCAGCCACAACTTCTGAGGATTTGTGAGATAAAGGAAATCTGTTTTAACCAATAGGAAGCTGGCACTTCCCTGTGAGTAAGGCCAGCATGACTCTAATAAGGCACTTGACATGAACCTGGCAAGGCCACAGCATGACACTCCAGGGCAAGATCTACAAGGAAAATGCCACTATAATGAAAAAGGGAAAGGCTCCAAGTCTTAGAGTTAGGCCTTACCTTTCTCCTTTCAGTGGAAGTACAGGGAAAAAGACTAGAATGGTGTAGGGCCCCAGGGTCCAGGAGTTCATAGGTATTGAACTTTAGGAATAACAGTGAATGGGGCACATGGCCAGAAAATGTCAATGGGCAGCTGTTCTCATCTTCAAAAAGATGGGAAAGGTAAATTCTGGAAATGGAAATGTAAGATAGATGACCTAGCACCACTAGATCAGTTGACAGCTGATTGACACCATAACTCTAAAGTGCAAAAGTAATTCTTTTGTGCCAATCTAGAGGGAATTTTGGAGTAGTAAACTCTAGACCTTTAGTTTTGGATGAAAATATGCTCCAAGACCATTTCTGATTCATCTTTGCATCCCCTCCCAGTGTTTAGGGTATTCCTGGAACAAAACAAACACTTAGGAAATGTTTGTTTGAATAGACATATGGTTGGTTGAAAGAATGAATGAGTAAATGAATGAATGGACAAAGACATAGACACTTTTTGTAAATATGTGTGACACAAATGCTGGGCTAGAGAGAGCAAATATATTATATAACAGAATCCTCTGAACTGATGTTAAGTTCCAAGTATACTTAAATAGGCACTATGAAAAACTACAGTGTGTTTCAAGAAAGAGTGAATTTCCTGTCACTGGAAGTGTTTAAGCAGAAGTTAGACAACCTCTTGACAAGGATATGGTATCATTTAGAAGGGTTGAGGTGAATACTAGATTAAAATGGCAGAATGTGGCATTAGTTTACTAATTCTATATTCTGTGGGACCCCAGATTTCTCTTGAACACCAGTAATGCTCCAAGAAAGAATATATAAGACCTAGCTGGGAGTGCTACCCAACTGCTATTCCAGGCAAAACTAAAAACCCACACTTGGGGTTCACAAGGTCCTTAAAGATCCATGGAAGTTTCCCTGAGACTGAACTCCCAAAATAGTATGCCGATTTTTATGTGTATGTACATTTAACCTTTCATTGGTTCTCAAAGATTCTCCCAAAATGTTAGGAACAACTACTCTAGGAGTTTCCACAGCCTCAAAGCATCTGGTATAAGAACTGGTGGCCCCTTGGCCACTGTGATCCTATGTGAAAACCTTGACAGAGGCTTTAGGTTTTTTATTTCAAAGATGTAGATTTTATGTGTGAAAGCTTTGACTCCTATTCTCTAAGAGATAGCTTCAAGTTTGGTGACAGAGAGGTGGAAGTGAGGGGAGGAAAGAGCTGGGATGGTTTAACTGTTCCCATGGTTCTGAAAAAAGCTCAACCAGGGCCAGCCCCTACAGCATTCCCAATGGCAACCAGACTCTCCTTCCCCTCCCTACACATCTCTCTTTTCAACCCCACTGCCACAGCCAAATGTTGCTCATGCTCAAAAAACAAGCAGAGACTGAACCCACCAGGCCCAGACTCAAGGAGCTTATCAAAGCCATCAAAGCAGAGACTCCTTCCCAAAAGGAATTTAATCAAAGTCTTGAAATAAAAGAACTTGAATTTATCTACCTTCAAGTCACTGCAGTGGCTCAGCCACCAAATCCTTGGCTGCATAGTCAGAAATCCATCCGGCTCAGGGTTCTAGTGGGACCATAGGTCATGTGGGCTTAGTCCAAGTTGCCTGGAGTACAGACCTAACCTTCCTCCTGCTAAAAAGGCCGGCCCTTGGGGACTGCTTTCCTTCTCTCTGGACTAGTTGGAGCTACATTGCCTTTCCCCAGCACTTCAAGAATAGGGATCATTTGAGGAGGAACGTGGGAGGTTAGGGAGAAGGGGACCAGAGAGAAGAGATCCTCTCCTTTGGAACGACATGTTCCCCGTTTGTCATTTAATTCCTTTG